AAAGAGAAAGAGATAGAGAGAGAAAAAGAGAAAGAGATAGAGAAAAAGAGAAAGAGATAGAGAGAGAAAAAGAGAAAGAGATAGAGAAAAAGAGAAAGATATAGAGAGATGAAGAGAGAAAAAGAGAAAGAGATAGAGAGAAAAAGAGAAAGAGATAGAGAAAAAGAGAAAGAGATAGAGAGATGAAGAGAGAGAAAAAGAGAAAGAGATAGAGAGAGAAAATGAGAAAGAGATAGAGAGAGATGAAGAGAAATAGAGAGAGGAAAAGAGATAGATGAAGAGAGAGAAAAAGAGAAAGAGAGAGATGGAGATAGGTTAAGAGATAGAGAGATAGAGAGAATATAGGGTTTAGAGAGCGTGTGTGGACTGTAGGAGCGATACTTAATTGATATTTATACAACAAGGATACTTAGTCAGTGAAGAAGGTGAAGGACGAGGAAAAGGGAGGAAGATAACACAGTTAAGAATGTTTGGCTCAGGAGGAAAAAAAAGGAAGACATTTAGTTCTGTTGCATGGATGTTCGCCTCAGGAGGAAAAAAAAGGAAGACACTTAGTTCTGTTGCATGGATATTCGCCTCAGGAGGAAAAAAAGGAAGACATTTAGTTCTGTTGCAAGGATGTTCGCCTCAGGAGGAAAAAAAAGGAAGACATTTAGTTCTGTTGCACAGATGTTCGCCTGAGGAGGAAAAAAAAGGAAGAATTTTAGATCTGTTGCAAGGATATTCGCCTCAGGAGGAAAAAAAGGAAGACTTTTAGTTCTGTTGCAAGGATATTCGCCTCAGGAGGAAAAAAAGGAAGACATTTAGTTCTGTTGCACGGATGTTTGCCTCAGGAGGAAAAAAAGGAAGACTTTTAGATCTGTTGCATGGATATTCGCCTCAGGAGGAAAAAAAGGAAGACATTTAGTTCTGTTGCAAGGATGTTCGCCTCGGGAGGAAAAAAAGGAAGACATTTAGTTCTGTTGCAAGGATGTTCGCCTCAGGAGGAAAAAAAGTGAAGACATTTAGTTCTGTTGCAAGGATGTTCGCCTCGGGAGGAAAAAAAGGAAGACATTTAGTTCTGTTGCATGGATATTCGCCTCAGGAGGAAAAAAAGGAAGACACTTAGTTCTGTTGCACGGATGTTCGCCTCAGGAGGAAAAAAAAGGAAGACTTTTAGTTCTGTTGCACGGAGGTTTGGCTCAGGAGGAAAAAAAAGGAAGACTTTTAGATCTGTTGCACGGATGTTCGCCTCGGGAGGAAAAAAGAGACATTTAGATCTGTTGCAAGGATATTCGCCTCAGGAGGAAAAAAAAGGAAGACTTTTAGATCTGTTGCACGGATGTTCGCCTCAGGAGGAAAAAAAAGGAAGACACTTAGTTCTGTTGCATGGATGTTCGCCTCAGGAGGAAAAAAAAAGGAAGACATTTAGTTCTGTTGCAAGGATGTTCGCCTCGGGAGGAAAAAAGAGACATTTAGATCTGTTGCAAGGATATTCGCCTCAGGAGGAAAAAAAGTGAAGACACTTAGTTCTGTTGCAAGGATGTTTGGCTCAGGAGGAAAAAAAAGGAAGACTTTTAGTTCTGTTGCAAGGATGTTCGCCTCAGGAGGAAAAAAAGTGAAGACACTTAGTTCTGTTGCAAGGATGTTCGCCTCGGGAGGAAAAAAGGGAAGACACTTAGTTCTGTTGCACGGATGTTCGCCTCATGAGGAATAAAAGGAAGACTTAGTTCTGTTGCAAGGATGTTCGCCTCGGGAGGAAAAAAAGGAAGACATTTAGTTCTGTTGCAAGGATATTCGCCTCAGGAATGAAACTAATATAATGATACTAATATAGTGATACTAATATAATATTAATGAAACTAATATAGTGATACTAATATAATATTAATGATACTAATATAAGGATACTAATATGATATTAATGATACTAATATAGTGATACTAATATTATATTAATGATACTAATATAGTGATACTAATATAATATTAATGATACTAATATAGTGATATTAATATAATATTAATGATACTAATATAGTGATATTAATACAATATTAATGATACTAATACAGTGATACTAAAATAATATTAATGATACTAATATAGTGATACTAATACAATATTAATGATACTAATATAGTGATACTAATATAATATTAATGATACTAATATAGTGATACTAATATAATATTAATGATACTAATATAGTGATACTAATATAATATTAATGATACTAATATAGTGATACTAATACAATATTAATGATACTAATATAGTGATACTAATACAATATTAATGATACTAATATAATGATACTAATATGATATTAATGATACTAATATAGTGATACTAATACAATATTAATGATACTAATATAGTGATACTAATATAATATTAATGATACTAATATAGTGATACTAACATAATATTAATGATACTAATATAGTGATACTAATATAATATTAATGATACTAATATAGTGATACTAATATAATATTAATGATACTAATATAGTGATACTAATATAATATTAATGATACTAATATAGTGATACTAATATAATATTAATGATACTAATATAGTGATACTAATACAATATTAATGATACTAATATAGTGATACTAATACAATATTAATGATACTAATATAGTGATACTAATACAAAATTAATGATACTGTAGTGACCCATACGGCGCCATGCGTGCCGGAGCAAGAATTGTTCAAGTCTCCCCTTGAAGAAACTGGGGAAAATATCCGCCCGGCCGCTCAGACGATGTTGCCTTCTTCAGTTTTTATTGTATTTTTATTATTTTTAATGTTTTTATTGTTAAATAAATATTCATGGTCTTAATGAAGAGGAACCGTCACCATTTTCTTTTTTCTTATTCTTTTGAGCACTCCCTTTTTACTTTAAAGCTAATTGAAGTTATTAATCTTAATATTTTCTTTTAAAACATCCTATTGGTAGCTTTTAATGGGGTTAAGGGGTTTTAACAACAAGGATGTAAGGTTAAAAACAAGTTTTAATGGGCTAAGAACTGCCACGCCATCTAGGGAGGGGGGAGGTGTTTAGCTCGTTCCCGGGCTAGTTACTAGCCATTAGCTAAGATCCTTGCTGGGGGTCGGCTATATATAGCCCGGGGACCGAGCAGCAGGGGGTCTGGATAGTATGCTCGTCTTAGCGGCCGATGTATACCCAGCGGAAGCGAAGACGTTGCTTGTTGTATTGTTCCCCTGCGGTCGTAAGGACGGTTTTATATGGCAGTAAGGTGGGGTATTTTAAACTTTTCTCCTTTTTTATAGTATTACAGAGTGCTCTTTTTATGGTGTTTTAGGTCCATTTTTATTGTTTTAT